TGGAAAGCTAAATAAGAGTTAAAAAATAAATAAATAAAGACAACAACTTGAAACCGCCTTACCTTTAAAAGAATCCAACCTAGATTGCTCAGGGCAGAAATGAGATAACGAATACTGGGTTTAAATTTACCTGGAGTTTGTCCTTGGCCCTGGTCCCTCCTTCTGTCCAGAAGCTAGAGGGTGTGGAAATAAAAAAATAACATTCCTCTGTGTCACGTGGATTATGCAACACTAAAGCCATTTCAGAAAATTCTCATGCAATTTGAGTAGATACCTAAATGCTCACAGGCCACCGCCCTCAGGGGTGAGCTCGGTTGTGAGAAGAGGTCCAGAGCTGTCTTACCCCACGTCCTGTGTGACCTCAGCCTCGGGCCGCTCCAGTACCGCATCACCTCACACCCTGTAGTGAGAATTTAGCACCGACGTGTAAATAGTGTACATTTGGCAATGTCTGCCCAGAGCAGCCTCTGATGGTAGGAGGGGGGGCGGGGCGGACCCCTCTGCAGGCACTGACAAGCACAGTGGCCCTAAGCCCCCGGCCCACCCCCCAGGTCTAGCAGAGGTGAACTGGCAGTGATCAGGGGCAGGAATCAAGTGGTCTCTCTCTGGTCTCAGAAAGCCCAAGTGAGTTAAAATTGCCGTGGAGGCTAAATGAGGCCATTTGAGCCTGAAAGATACGCAGCTGTAAAGCACCTGGTGAGGCAGTGGTGATGTCACCACAGATTCGTTCTAAAGAATGTTCTTTGACTCCATCCCCACCCACTTTGGTTCAGGCCCCATACTAGGCACCCGGCGTGTAGTGGAGAACGGCCCAGAGCATTCTCTGTCCTCAGAGGTCTGGTGTGAGCCCAAAATTTTACAAGTTCTGGTGCAGTCACTAAATCCCAAATACCATTCGCACGAAAAGCCAGCACTGTTTGGGTGTTGACAGTGCGCCGGCAATTTTATGCAAGTCCCAAGTGTGGGTAGGGAGGATGCTTGGCAGGTGCAGCCCCTGTCACTGAGATCAATACAAAAAAGCCCAGTTCTGGGGTGGGGGGGGCAGTGGCTTCTGTCCTTTAACAACCGTTCTTTAGAGCAAGCTGCCAACTCACTCACAGTCAGTCCCAGGCCCAACCTAAGATTTCCGAAATTCTGGATTATTAAGATCTGGGAAAACGTGTGGGCACCTGGGTGGTTAAGCATCCACTCTTGATTTTGGCTCAAGTCATAATCTCAGGGTCATGAGATCAAGCCCCATGTTGATGCTTACGATTCTCTCTCTCTCCCTCTGTCTCTGCCCCCTGAACCCAGCTCATGCTCTCTTTCTCTCTCTCTCTCTCACTCTCTCTAAAATAGGGCGCCTAGGCGGCTCAATTGGTTCAGCAGCTGCCTTTGGCTCAGGTCATAATCCTGGAGTCCTGGAATCAAGTCCCACATCAGGCTCCCTGCTCGGTGGGGAGTCTGCTGACCTCTCATATGCTCTCTCTCTCTCATTCTCTCTCTTTCAAATAAATAACAACAACAATAAATCTTTTAAAAATAAATGAAATAAAATAAATCTGGGGAAATGTGCTCCCAGAGCTGGTGCTTTAATTGGAGTCCAAGCTTCCAGTGGTGTCCAGCCTAGTAAGAACTTTGTTGTCCCCCTCTTAGTCGATTTTGGCTTCTCATCTCCTGTTCCTTTTCTCTTCTTAAGAACCTACGAAATCTCTATAAATTCAAAAGTGCTTTTTGTCTCCAGGACAACAGCAGTAGAAGCCTCGCAGGGGATGTTTGTCATATCTCTGTCTATGTATTGTTTACTTGTAAGATGAGAACTGCCAGTCCCATAAAGCCAGGGATATGTTATGAAAATCAGAGCCGAACATTGCATATCTTTCAGCTGAGCTAGACAGAAGTTGTGTGGACTTGTTTCGTCTGGCATCATTCAGAAATAAGCTGCCTCCACAGTCATTCAAAACTGCAGAAGCAATACCAAGACTGAGGAAATGGAATTATCAGCTATTGAATATGAAATTGATACCAAGAAAAATTGATATAAAGACACCCACACTTCAATACATGGTATAACTACTGCACAAACTGCAGAACACCAAAGACAGAGAGAAGACTCCCAAAGCAACCAGACACCGAAGGCAGATTCCTCCAGAAGAGCAGCAGGAATAATGGCAGCTGGAACAATTGAATAATATAGAAGGTTGTAGAACACAGTGGGAAAATATCTTAAAAGTGCTGAAGGAAACAATGATCAGGGCAAAAATAACATTTTTATGACAAACTGAATACTACCAACTGACCTTTCCTAAAGAAACTACTAATGATTGTACTGCAGGAAGAAAGAAAGTGATCCTAGGAGGAATATCTGAGATACAAGAATATCTTCATGATTCAAAGCAGGGAAAGATTTCTTAAATTCCATCTGTATGGAATCCGTCTATAAAGGAACAGATGAACATATTCAATTATGTTAAAATTAAGAACTCATTTCATCAAAAGGCATCATCAGATGTGTGAGACACATCCTGAAGGAATATATTTGCAATAATTGTAACAGTCAATGAGATCCACACTATGAGAAAGAATCACTCTGAATCAGTAAGAAAGAGGCAAACCCACAAGAAATTTGTAACCAATAAAAAACAGCTTAAAATGTTACAGAAGATAAAAAACATGAAAGTAAATTCAATCTTTTTTTTTTTTAAGATTTTATTTGTTTGACAGGCAGAGATCACAAGCAGGCAGAGAAACAGGCAGAAAGAGGGAGAAGCAGGCTCCCCAAAGAGCAGAAAGCCCGATTTGGGGCTCAATCCTAGGACCCTGGGATCATGACCTGAGCTGAAGGCAGAGGCTTTAACCCACTGAGCCACCCAGGAGCCCCAGTAAACTCAATCCTACCTGTAATCATAAAAAATTAAAACCTAATGAGATACATAAAAAATCCCAAGGAATATGCCAAATGACAACAACAACAACAACAACTGCAACAACAAAAAACCCTTCTTGAACTGATAAGTGAGTTTAGCAAGTTGTAAGATACAATATTAATACACAAAAAAATTGATCATGTTTCTATCTACTGGTATTGAACAATTAGGAAATGAAATTTGTAAAAAATGATACTATTGACAATAGCTTCCCAAAATGAAATATTTAGGCATACATATAGGAAGTGTGTATAGTATCAGTATGCTAAAAAGAACAAAATATTGATAAAAGAAGTCAAAGAACATCTCAATTATTGGAGAAGCATACCATGTTCATGGATTGGAAAACTCATCATAGTAAAGATGTCAATTCTCCCCCAAACTGATCTATAGATTTAACCCAAAATCCCAACAGATAGATATTGTAGATACAAAAAATCTGCTTCTAAAATTTGTGTGGAATCAACAGAACTGGGGAAGGGGATGAGCTATCTCCTGAGATGGGCAGAAATGTGAGCCACCTGCACAGACAACTCTTTTGATTATTGTAACTTTACAGAAAGTTTTAAAATCTGGCAGTGTGATTCCTCCACACCAAGGATGGCTCCCTCTCCCCATTATTCCAAATCTCCAGTGGTCTCATAGTCCAAAACATTCTCTCTCTCTCTCTCTCTCTTTTTTTTTTCAGAATTATTTTGTTGCTTTATAAAAGAAAAAATTACCCACTATGCCATCTAAGAAATAGAACTTTACCACTGTCTTTGGAGGTCTCAGTACATTCATTCTCAATCCCATCACTCTCTCCCTCAGAAGGGTCATTTTCAGAAGGTGCTGAGGAGAATAGGTTCTGAGGGATTTGAGGAGTGTCAATGAGTTCAGATTTTGTAATTTGTTGCATTTGAGGAGCTTGAGGGGCGAATGAGGTGCTCAGGGTACAAAATTTAATAAGGCATTCACCCTCAGGGTCCTGCCAGAGCATGGTTGGCCCCTGCAGTGGAATATCTGAATGGAGACTTCCAAGTGGGCCAGTGGATGTGTGGGAATGAAGGCCTGAGATTGCTGGCCTATATGGTGCTTAGATTGAACAGGTGCACAGATTTAATAGGGTGCACAGATTTAATAGGAGTGAGAAGAGGGAGGACCGAGGAGGCTCACAGGGACATCCTAAGGAGAACCCAGGAAGGAGAGGAGCCTAGAAAGTCTGAAACAGGGGTGCCTGGGTGGCTCAGAGGGTTAGGCCTCTGCCTTAGGCTCAGGCTAAGGTCTCAGGGTCCTGGGATCAAGCCCTGCATGGGGAAATCTCTGCTCAGCAGGGAGCCTGCTTCCCCCTCTCTCTCTCTGCCTGCCTCTCTGCCTACTTGTTATCTCTCTCTCTCTCTCTCTCTGTCAAATAAATAAATAATCTTTTTAAAAAAGAAAGAAAGTCTGAGACAAACTAATAACAACAAAACCACTTGGTGCTCCCTCAGGCCTCTAACTGGACATGCTACCATGTGGACATTTACTTAGTTCTTTCCTTGGGCTGACCCATATGGGTATAAACCCAGCACAAGAGCAAACAAATGCAGAGCCCAGAGAGAACGGGGAGAAGGGTTGGTTTCTCCACTAAGGGGATAGTAACAGCCTGGACAGGGCTGAGAGGTGATCAAACTGGAATGGTATTGCCCAGGGTGTCAGATACTATAACCCAGGGCCCCAAACCAAATGCCCACAGGGCCAGGCTGGCACTGTGAGTAGGTAAAGGGGGCCAGGAAAAGGAAATAGTATTCCATAGTGAAAAGGAGCAACAGAAAACATGCTACACAATGGCACGGGTTGGGGGTGAAAGGGAGGTGGTCCACTGAGGATGTCAAGTCTTCTTTTATTTTTAAATTTTATTCATTTATACCTCTATGTTAACCACTTGACTTTTCAAAAAAAAAAAAAATCTACTCTTCTCCCGGGGCCAGGCTTCCTTCCCCATTTCCCTCTTGTTCCACCTAACTTCACCTGAAGAGCTTTTAACCAGACGGAAGAGAAGAGAGATGCTGTGCAAAGGGAAGTACGCCCTACATGAGCAACTTAAAGTTCTTCTTTTATGGTTTCTTCTTGCAGATATTTGGCTGCTGGGTCTGGATCCTGGTAGCTGTCACCCATGTAGCAAATCCGTTGCTGCAAGGATGGGTGATGTATGTCTCGATCACCTCCTTTCTCATCTCCCTGATGTTCCTGTTGTCTTACCTGTTTGGATTTTACAAAAGATATGAGTCCTGGCAAGTCCTGGTAAGAACCGGAGGGAGTGATCCAGACCCTGGGGCTTCTCCGGATGTCCGTTCTGGGCATTGTGAGGACAAAGGTCCTTCTGGGCTGGGACGGGAGTTGGGCACGGGGGGTGGGGGGCAGGTTGGGACCAGAGACCAGACACCAGGGACCAGAGGCCTTGTCATGGCTGGGCCTCTATGGAACCAAGGCTTTTTTATCTTAATGCGTTTACTAGTAAGGCAGAATGAAAGCACTCCTTTGCCACAGTAAATGTTTCGTCGTATTCCCCTCCATTGTCTTCCTTCCTACATATTCTCTATCAAGCACATCTTGACTCGTTTCCCCTTAAGCTTTATTTATGATTAAATCATTGGAGTTGGATTGAAGGACATGATAGTGGGGGGGGGGGATCACCCCAGTCCTACAGCGATTCCTCTATTCCTTGTGCATTTTATGTAAAAGTGTATATATAATCATGCCGAACCAATAATTTTGGTGTCAATTCTTTCATTAACAATATATCATTAAATTGCTTTCATGACCCATATCTTGAAAACCATTTAAAAAGTTTCTGTATGGAACATTTTAAAACATACACAAAAGTAGTGAACATCACATCATAGACCCTCCAGAAACCACAACCCAGATTCCTGCACTATTAACATTTTCCCACATTTGCTGCACCTAGACTTTTTTTCCTAAAGAATTTTAAAGCAAACCCAAAACATCATGTTGTTCCATTCTACACACTTCAGTATGACTCCAAAAAAATATGCACACATTCTTATGTCATCATGCTTATATAAAGTTACTAACAATCATTCCTCCGTATCACCTAAGACCCAGGCCATGATCAGATTTACTCGGTTACACCTGAAAAGTCTCTTTACCATTGACCTGTTTGATCGGGACCCTCCCAGGGACCATGCGTTGCCCTTGGCAGTCATGGTTCTTGGGTACCTATAACCCAAAATGGCTCTCCCTGCCAGTGACTGGTTGAAGAAGGCGGATCAGCTGTCCTATAAAAGGTCTGATGTTTTGGGGTTTTGTTTGCTTCTTCCCAGTGTGATGTGACTTGCTCCTTCAAGTCCCTGAATGACAGATGGGTGAACTTTTCTGGCATTAACATCTCCAGTGTGACAGGCTTACCCCCCCATCAACTATTTCCCTCATGCTTTTTTTCACCTCTTCATGAGCTTCCCCCGAACCGAGTATCTCATTAGAGATTGTAAAATGCCAGTAATGACATTCCTTCCGGAATTGACAGCCCTTTTAAATGACTGCCTGACACTCTGCGGTTGAAGAAAGCACGCTGCTGAGCGTTCAGCGCAGAGACTCAGCCTCTGGAATCTGGAGTCGAATAAGCCTGACTCTACCCACTCCGCCGCATGTTAGCTCAGCCCCAGTCTCATCACCTGCACATCGGGGTGCCCAGAGCTGCAGCCTTTTGGCGTTAGCTGTGGGAATGAATGAGGTGGCATGACATACTGTTAGGACGTAGCAGGTCTTCGTAACGCTAATGGTTAAGAGCACAAGCTTGGAGTTCATCTGGCCTAGGTTCAAATCCTGACTTGGCTCTTTATTCCTAGACCTTGACCTTGAGCTCCTACTTCTTCAAAATGGCACTAATGTTAAGTGGTGCTGACCCCATAGCTGGCAAGCTTACATGAGGTACAGGAGGAAAGGCTTAGCACGAACAAGCACTCAGCCAAATGCTGGCTCGGATGGATGTCACTATTGGCATTTATTAATCCGCCATGGTTCACTGCATCTTGAGTTTATCAGAAACACTGCAGAAGGAAAGAGCAGGAGTCTGGGGTGCAGGCCGGGCTCTTTGGCCTGCTCCTCCCAGCTGTATGGTGTGAGGGGCAAGTGTCCACCTGCTTCCGTGCCCCCGTGACGCCGGCCGTGGCCCCCTCTGCCTTTCCAGGACAGCCTGTACCACGGCACCACCGGCATCCTGTACATGAGCGCCGCGGTCCTGCAGGCACACGCCACCATCATGTCTGAGATCAACGACCTGAAGAACTACTTCATCAACACCGCAGCCTCGGTAAGCACGGGACAGAACTCAGAGCCGCTGGGTGGGGGGGGCACCTTGCCGGAGACTCCATTCTGCCCCTGCGGACAGATGACCCCAAGCCTCAGGCTGACGGGGACTTGGAGGACTGGAGAAGCTGTGTGTGTATGTTTGTGTGTGTGTGTATGTGTGTGTGTGTGTGTGTGTGTATGTGTGTGTGTGTGTCTATCTGTATCTCTGTGTGTGTGCTGTAGACGTGTGTGTGTGTCTGTGTTTGTGTCTGTGTGTGTCTATGTGTCTATGTGTGTCTGTGTCTGGGTGTGTCTCTGTCTGTCTATGTGTGTCTGTGTGGGTGTGTCTGTGTGTCTATGTGTGTCTGTGTATATCTGTGCCTATCTATGTGTGTCTGTCTGTGTTTGTATGTGTCTGTGCCTGTTTATGTGTGTCTGTGTCTGTCTATGTGTGTCTGTGTCTGTCTGTGTGTGTGTTTGTGTGTGCACACATGCACATGTCAACAGCCACGTGCTGTTCAGGTTCAGGGGTCATCTCTCACTTTCTGCTTTTCCCGCCTCAGGCTTACTCATCCATACACCCGCTATACCACCCTCAGAACCTTTTTTCTAAAACACAAATTGGAACGCTTCTCTCTCTCCTATTGAAAGTTCTTCCATGGCCCCTCTGCTTGCGGAATGGAGCCGGAATTCCTCAGCGTGGCCGAACGGAGTCAGTGTCCTTTTGTTTCAGTGATGGAAGTGCACAGGGCTAACTGTTGGCTGATGGAATCCAGGGGCCAGGTGGTCCAGCCAGCCGTAGGGAGAGCAGGACCCTCAAGGCCTTAGGTCCACTAGGACCAGAGACTCAGCCGGTTCACCTGCCTTCCTAGCCAGCGGCGACCTCTCTTCTCCTGTGGGGGAATGGCGCCCTCACGTGGCAGCTCGCTCACAGCCAGCAGCTTCCTCCTCTAGTAGCTTGTGACCTTCCTTATTCCCCCCTTGAAAACTTCTCAGAAAGGATCTAACACCCACACTGTGGTAAGCCCCACAGCAACCAGTCACGGGCACCAGAAAGGTCATGGCCTGTGTCAGTGTCGGGGCTCCTGCAAGGATCAGGTGGCAGGAGGAAGGGATGGGGCGTGGGGTGCCGTTCTCCACAGTAAGAATGGGGTGCCCGGCAGGCACAAAGGACGGCTACACGTATTCAGCTGCCTTTGCAGCCCGTCTGCCTCCTTTCCCTCCTCCTCAAACTATTCTAACTCCCCTGAACTCCTGGCTCCAGCAGGATCCACACGCCGCCCTTCCACAGTCTGGCCCGGTGCCCTCTGAGCTCTGTCCTGCTGCTCACCGTCGGTCTGCTCCAGCCGCCGGCCGCCTCCAGCCACGCCTGAACACACGACACCTGCTCTCGCCTCTCCCTCGCAGGGACACCCCTGCTCCAGGAGCCAAACTCCTTGCCACCTTCTGTTCCCTTCTCACCGGCAGACCACCTTCTCGGGGAAGCCTCGTCCTTCCCCCTCCCCAGCAGGCCCTGTTTGTCTCTGGCTTATTTTCTCCCGGGCACTTATCCCCATCGAACCTGCTACTCTCCTGGTTTATCTTGCTTGCTTTCTGCTCCTGCTGCTGGAATGTGAGCACCGTGAGGGCAGATGTTTTTGAACGTTTTGTTCGCTGTTAGGGCGACTGTCATTTTTGAAGTATAGCAGGTGCTTGAAAGATGTTTGTTGAATGAGTGAGTGGATGAATGAGAACAGGGTGTGAGCGGACAGTGGGGCGATTCGAGGCTGGAATGGTCATCCAGCCCTGGAAGGCCTGTTAAGGGCAGTGGCCTCTGTCCTCAGAAGCAGGGACTCCTCACACAGTTTCAAACATATGACAGGAGCGGCTCCATCACATCTTCCTCTTGGGACAGATGAGACGGGATGAGGGAGCAGAAGTGGGCAAGCTGAGGCCCGGAGAAGTCTTGGGGAGGGATGACGGCAGCCGAGACAAGGGAGAAGTGAGCGTACACGAGGTGGTCAGGCAGTACATGCAGATGAGTTTGGGGATGGCTTTGGACGTGGCCGTGGGGGAAGGGAGGCGTCAGGCTGGTTTCTGTCAGGCAGCGGGATGAGATGGGGTTCCTGAAGACCCCCTGAGCGAGTGAGGCTGGAGAGGAAAGCTCAGCAGTCCGTTCTGGACCACTGAGAGCTGGAGGGGCCTCCAGAGCCCTCACGGGGTGCTGGCAAGCAGGGCGCTCAGAGCAGGGTGCTGGGCTACCGGGTGGACACGTGGGGGAAGTCATCGGAGTCCAGCCTGGCTGGGACAAGGGGACAGTGAGGGAGACAGGACCCAGGGCAGGGATGGAGCGAGCCTGCTCTCTGCCCAGGATCAGGAGGACACGTGTGCCCAGGAGAGTCGGAGCCAGAACCCAGGAGGGTGCCCGGGGACGGCGAATATCAAGGAGAGGAGCGGGGCAGGGCAGGGTGTGGGGCAGGCAGGGGGAACAGGGTCAGGACACTCAACCTCCCAGCCTGCAGGGAAGGGGTGGGGACGGCCGTTGGCCCTGGCCATCGCTGACACAGGAGCCTCCCGTCTCCTTCCAGTTCTTCGCCTTCATCACCGCCCTGCTCTACATCCTCCACGCCTTCAGCATCTACTACCACTGAAGCGGCAGGAGCCAGGCGCGGGGTGGGGAACCCCAGCAGCACCTAATATGGGCTCCTGAAGCTCGCGCTCAACATCGGCCGCGTGGGTGACAAACAGAACATCAGCAAGACCCTCAAGGGGCTGAGGACAGACCAGCTTCTCACACTGAGGGACGAAGTCACACTCTGGCATCTCCGTTTGGACATTTTAATTCATTATGGAGAATATGAAAAAGATTGGGGGGCAGGGGTGTTGTTTGCTTGTTTGGTTGGTTTGGGTTTTGCCTGGGCGAGTAACTGTCCCTTCTCACAGGGAACCTCACTCTCCTGGAAAACTGGTATCCAACATCCTCACCAGGGAGAATCCCACGTCTGCCATTTGTCACACCTGTTTGGGGATTCTACCTCAGCAGTGAGGTTCCCCCAGAGCAGGTTTAAGGGGACACTTAGTCTTGTTTTGTTAAAATCAAAATGGTGCTGCCGATGCCTTCAGAAGAAGACCCACAGACCTTGTTCCTGACGCATGGTTCTGACCTTGTTTTGGAGCGGTGGTCCAAATCCGCTCTCCCATGCCCCCCGGGGAGCTGATGGGGGACGAGCCACACAGCCCACTCCCCCCCATTCCACTCCTCCTTCCCTTTTCTCCCCAGTTTTGGGATCCAAGGAAAATCTTCATAAAAGCAACTTTGAGGATAGATTTGTGAGGAAAATAAGTGACTGCCTACAAAATTGTTATGTAGTAAGACCTGGGGGAGGGGCAGGATGGGGGGGAAGGGGCGGCCTGCTTCTCCACAAGTCAAGCCTGTCAGAAAACTGCAAGGCTACAGGACACCTGTGCCAGGCCTCCAGAAACCTGCCTCCTGAGGACGCGAAGCCACCTTTTCCCTCAGAAAAGACCATCAAGGAAATGAGGCAGGACGTTCCAGGCAAGGATTCTTCTGTGGGCTTCTGTCCCACACCGTGGGATATGTCAGGAGGCCAGAAAGGACTCCTGTCCCAGGGTCCGTGCTCTTCCATGTGCCCCCATGGCCTCCTGCGTCCCCCCAAGTGGCACCAGCTGCGTGAGGCCTCATTCGGGGAAGGGCTTGTAAACCCCAATATGCAAAGGCCTCCATGATTTGGGGTCATTTTCAAACAAAAGGGGGGGGTGTTATGCATACAGAAACGTAAAATCGAGGTGCTTGATGTCAAAGTAAATGGTTTTCAGAAGGAAGCTGCGCCCTCTGGCCTGTCTTCCTCCATGCAAGGCTTCCAGCCCCCGTCCTCCGTCTGAGCACCAGGCCTCCTGACCCCGGCGAGTGGGACGCAGCCCCACAACCACACGTGTCTGCTCTAGTTTTGAAATGAAATAAATGATTACGGAAAAGGGACTAGTTTCAGCCGATTCTGAGGCTTACAGTTTTGTACCAATTTTTTTGCTGCTCCTGGTGGGGGGTGGGGGGCGGGTACAGGGAGCCACCAGAGAGAAAATTCTGGCTTCTTCTTGTTGACCACTCAACTCTCCAACCACCATGTTATCTTGAAAAGCCAACATTTACCCCTCATTTTATTGCCCGGGATGGTTACTGCTCAATATTTACCAAGTAGCCATATCCAAATAAAAGTTGTTTGTACAGATCTTGCGTCCCCGCGTGTGTGCACCTAATCTCAGCTGGTCCGCCCGAGACCCCCTGAGCGCCAACCCTAGTCCCCCGCGCGGTCCCATTTCCGCTCCAACAAGATGAAAGAAACTATCATGAACCAGGAGAAACTCGCCAAACTGCAAGCACAAGTGCGCATTGGTGGGAAAGGAACTGCTCGCCGAAAGAAGAAGGTGGTTCATAGAACAGCTACAGCAGATGATAAAAAACTTCAGTTCTCCTTAAAGAAGTTAGGGGTAAACAATATCTCTGGTATTGAAGAAGTGAATATGTTCACAAACCAAGGAACAGTGATCCACTTTAACAACCCCAAAGTTCAGGCATCGCTGGCAGCGAACACTTTCACCATTACAGGCCATGCTGAGACAAAGCAGCTGACAGAAATGCTACCCAGTATCTTAAACCAACTTGGTGCAGACAGTCTGACTAGTTTAAGAAGACTGGCTGAAGCTCTGCCCAAACAATCTGTCGATGGAAAAGCACCACTTGCTACCGGAGAGGATGATGATGATGAAGTTCCAGATCTTGTGGAGAATTTTGATGAAGCTTCCAAGAATGAAGCAAACTGAATTGAGTCAACTTCTGGAGAAGATAAAACTTGAAGAAGTTACTGGGAGCTGCTATTTTATATTATGACTGCTTTTTAAAATTTTGTTCATGGATCTGATAAAATCTAGATCTCTAATATTTTTAAGCCCAAGCCCCTTGGACACTGCAGCTCTTTTCAGTTTTTGCTTATACACAATTCATTCTTTGCAGCTAATTAAGCTGAAGAAGCCTGGGAATAAAGTTTGAAACAAGATTAATAAAGTTCTTTGCCTAGGAAAAAAAAAAAAAAGTTGTTTGTACAGTAAGAAGTATTAAGTTGGTCACTTTTGTGATGTTAGCAGCTGGAACTGGCCCACACATCCTGAGAGCAGTTTCACCCAAACACCCAGGGGAGGGTCTGAGGGCCCAGCCCACCAGCCTTGCTCCTGGGGCAGCTGCAAGGGAGGCCGAGTTTGTCTCCAGGGCTTGGAGCCTGTGCCATTTCCACTTCAGTAAGGACAGTTTGAGTGCAAGTTCCAGAAACCAAATTCCCAGCTTAGGCAAAGCTGGGGGTGCACTAGCTGGGCCTGGGAGGCGAAGAGGCCCCCATAGACACAGTGGACCCCTTGCCCGGCCCTCTGTGCCATTCCCACTCTTCCTGACAGAGTGCCATCCTTCTCGCTTGCCACAATGCAAGGCACCCATCCATGACCCACAGTGGACCAGACCCTGAGCCCCAGCTCCCCCAAGTTCACTACAGTGGCCGTACCGCCCAGCCTGCCAGCACCTTCCAGTCCTGGAGGCCAGCTTCCTGTCTGTAGGGCTCTTCCCAAGCCCAGAGACCTTCCAGTCCCTCATCACTGGGTATCATGGGACCTGGGTCCCCATAGCCAGGGACCACCCCCAGGAACACTTGGCCATTCCTCCAGCCATGGGTCAAATTCTGTCCCTCCCTGCCCCCATGGTGGCACCATGTCAGGACGGGGCCAGCTCAGTCCTGCTGTTGCCTCCATGCCCGTGCCAGACATTATGCTCCCTCCTCCTGGGAACACGAAGGCCCAGTCCCTCTTGCACAGGAAAAACCCTTGTTAACCTTGCAAGAGATCTTTCTTGCCCCCTAGAGTTAATTACTCTCTCCTTGACTTGCCTCTGCTCCAGGGGTGTGTGCTGCTGTTGCAGAGTTGCCCCATGTGCCTCAGGGTCTCCCTGACTAGACTACGAGACCTTCAAGGGCAGGGCTTTGGCTCTTGGATATTTTACCATCATTGCCCTACCCTACCCTCCCTGGCTGGCGCCCACCAGTCTCAGTTCTGCTCCTATACGGTTGACCAGGATGAGGACTTGCAAAGGCCATAGCCAGTCTGCAGGGACTGAAGGCAGAGCTGGTTCCTGAGCCCTCCCTGTCTTCACCTCCAACCCACAGTCTGACATCCTAGCAGAAAAAGCTGTTCTCTGCTCGGTCCTCTACTCCTGGACTCCCATGGGGCAGTTTAGCTCCTTCCATCCTAAAACCCTAGAACCTCAACCACAGTGAGGTAAGCCCAGTCACCACCACCAGGGCCAGGCCAGCTCAAGCAGGCTGTGGGGCCCCGAACCAGGCAGCGCCATGTCTGATCAGAGCTACCCGGCTTGGCTGCCTTGCTGGTTCTGAGTCCAGCACGCAGTAGGGCTAATGAAAAGGTTAATGACCCTCTATCAGGGAACCCTTCTGAGGCAGCTACTCAAACCTGGCCTCCAAAACTGTCTAACCCAAGCTTGAGAAGCACGAGGATTGTGGGCCAGGGACAGCTGTGTCCTTGAGTGTGATGAGGCAGGGTCCTCTGTATTCTCTGCGTGGAAAGCCCCGGAGCTTGGGGCAGCTGCTCTTTGCCAGGTGTTGATTCCTTACATGGGCACCCACTCTGACCTCTGGGAAGAAGGAAATGCAGCGGACAGTTGTCTCAAGGTCAACTCCACAAGATACCTGTCCCGGATCCTGAATTGGGAGATAGTGGAGGGCAGGGAGGAGAGTCCAGAGGATGCTGCTTCCGCATCTTTCTGTGAACTCAGGCAAGGCATGCCGCTGCTTCCGAACCTGTCCTCTCCGTAAGCTGGGATGCGTGGGTTCCCCCACACCATAATGTGTAAGGATAACACTTCAAGATGGAGAGATATCAGCATGAGGTCATGCCAAGGGGAAGTTGGTTCCAGGTCCAGCTGAGTTAAAAAGTGTTCATACCAACCTGTAGGACTGTCAAGGTGTGTTTATGTCAGGTCATCTCAAGGAGCACACAGGGGAAGGGGCGGCTGTGGGGCACAGGGAGAAACATCGTGGGCAGTAGGTTTGGGAGCCCTCGAAGCGTAATCGTTATAGACTTGTTTGATCGAAACTGGCAGGAACCCATGAGACACCCCTGAGGTCACATCCCTTCCTTCCGCAGTAATAGAAAACAACCTCACCACCATTAAGATGATGGAACTATTTCTCCTTCCTGAGTTAAGACTCTTTTTTTTTAAATTTTTATTTATTTATTTTCTTTACAGATTTTTATTTATTTGACAGACAGATCACAAGTAGGCAGAGAGGCAAGCAGAGAGAGAGAGGAGGAGGAGGCAGGCTCCCTGCTGAGCAGAGAGCCCCATGTGAGGCTCGATTCCAGGACCCTGAGATCATGACCTGAGCCGAAGGCAGAGGCTTTAACCACTGAGCCACCCAGGCGCCCCTTAAGACTCTTTTTTAATGGATAATCATTCAGGAGCCAGATGGAGATGGGAAAAAGGATGAAAGCGTTCAGTGCAATTACCCAGATACGCCACTCGGTGGCGTCTGGGCTCCACTCTAATACCCACAGAGGTCCCGGTGACAGCAGGTGGCCCGTCAGAAGTTGCAGGACCCAGGTGGGATCTTTGGGAATCTCACCAGGGAAGGAGAAGCCACTCCAGCACGCACCAACACCCACGGTCTTGGGTACGTGCCTTCTGTCTGCCTCAGGCTACTTCGCTGTGTACTGAGGTGCGTGCGAAGGTGTCCACAAAGGCTGTCTGGGGCCACTTCCTCGTCCTAGGGAGGCAGACAGGGAGAAAGGAGAATCGAAGAGGGAGACCCCCAAGCCACTTTCACGTACTAAGAGGGCAGTTCTTGCCGCCCGAGTCGAATCCCAGGGGTCCCGCCAAGCCAGGCTCCTTTGGTATGGATTCAGGAGACACAGCAGTGGGAGAAGCTGGGATCTTCAGGCAAGGGCAGAGCCCTGCAGGAGCACATACCTTCTGGGAGCAACTGTGATGTCTGCTTGCAGCAAAAATTCAGGTGTAGTTGTGTTGCAGGCATTTTTGCTGTACATCTCCTGCATGCTCAGCCCTGGGCCGAGCCCGCCTGCTCTTAAGAACGTGGAGTGGGTATGGTAGGGACCAGAGGGCTCATGTCCTATAGGGACAAGGCAGTGACTCCAGCTGGAAGTAGAGGGGAGGAATTTATGAGGGGTTACCTAGAAAATGGGACCTTGAGGAAGTTACCAGAATGATCAGCCCTCAGCCACATACCCTTTCCAGGCCTAGAGCCACCGGCTAGAGTTTTAAAGGATAAGATGCGGCCAGGTGGGGAGGGCAGTTAGGATAGGGAACAGTGTAAG